TGTCTGTAGGCCAGTGTTGGAAGGGTCACTTCACTCTGCATGTTTTCACTTGTCCGTCTGGGTTAGTGGGTAGATCAGCTGCTCAATCAGGGAGAGGGGAAACAAGTGCGCATCATTAGGTCCTCTCAGTACTGAGGGACTGGGCTTCAGGTAAGACAGATATAACTGTTCTGTTGTAGATGGCAGTGGGCTGAACCTTGTGCACTATAGAATCATTTCTGTACTTATCATAGATTGATCGTAGATAGCCGACAAACAGCAGGAACAGAAAATCTAGTGTTTACCAGGTGTGTGGGTTCGATGTGCTCGGGGAGTCTGGTGTTTGTTTAGCTCACACCCAGACTCTTACCTGAGCTGGTGGTACACTCCAGTCAGGTGTGAAGAGAGGGTAATATGCCGTTTGGTGGTCAAAAGAGTAGAGAAAGCTTGCTGGGAGGTTGAATTATTTATTTATTTTTTGGTTGTTATGTATATTTCTTGTTGAATTTCCCAGGGTTCATTTTACCTCTGTTTGGTATATTTTTGAGCTCATTTTACAGCCTGTGGTCCTGCTTTTTGGAATTTCCCTTAAAAAGTTTCCAGTGTCCAAACAACATTGTCTGCCCTTCGTATGGGGTTAAGGTTAGTTTCTTATGTAGTGCTTGCTTTTGCAAGAGATTTAAGATGTTTTGTATTTTGTGTATATGGTTTTGGTTTGTGTGTGAGAGCGCAGCTCAGCCTTCTTGTTTTTGCCCGCAGAAGGAAAAAGTTACTTCCCCATGGAGTCACGGAACCTACGCCCACTACCCTCCGCTCACGTAGACTCTGCTGTGTTTCTGTGCTGACAACGGGCATACAGCCTCCCCGCCATACGCACGCTCTCTGTGGGTCTAGCGTCTGCCGCTCTCCTCTCACAGTCGCCCAACTCTGCCGTGAGTCGCCTTTCCTCTCTTTCTCTCTCCCTACCAACACACACATTCAGACCTCCACATACACATTGAACATCCCTCCCCACTAGCCACGGGTGGTGAGGATTTTAAGTTGAGTGAGCACAAGAGTCCCGACCGCTAGTCGGTGCTGCTTGGTGTTGTCTAGCCCAGACAAACCACGTCCGCCATTTCGGCTCACGTAACGCGACCCTCACCAAGTCACGTCCACCATCTTGGATGCACACACCCACCATCTGAATGTGTTTACTGTATTGCTGTGTCTACTGTATGTTTAGTTAGTTGGATGATTGGTAGAATAGTGTTATTAATCCAGACTGTGGTTAACTTTGTTGATTTGTGTGGAGATTAAATGAACAGTAAGTTAAAGAGAAATCTTTCAGTCCTTATTGTACATGTTTATTGTGATCTGTGGCTGATTGAGAGAGTCAGAACTCCAACTTTACCTTGTTTAGTCACTTGTAGTCGTTGACTCCAGGAGGTCAGCTACTTAAGTTAACTATTTAGGTTGTGAGACTGCAACCTGGTTCGGTTATTGTCCCGGTCTCCAGGTGGTGCCCCATATTATTAATTTATAGTACTAACTTTAATTAATAATTTCTTAATAGATAATGTATTATTCTTAGACATAAAAATAAGTCATACTCATTAACAAAACGCGTTCCTACCAGATCCATCAGTCATCAACTCCACAACATCTGTCTTGTCGTGAACATATGAAGGTAACTTGTTAACATAGGGTTTTAAATAACTGTATTGCTGGCTCTGTTACACATTGCTACAATGGGCCCAGAGGGTTACCTTTTGGTTCTTCATAAAGTTTATGTAACCCACTCAAAATAGCCTATAATAAGGGTGAACTTATTTCCAGTATTTTTCTCATCAGCAATAGCCGTTTTAGTCCAGCAGTGGGCAGTGGTGGTGCTGCAGAGTAAAAAACAAACAGCGCTTCCAGGATAGAGAGACAGCAGAACAGTAGCAAGCTAAAGCAGAAATTAAGTGAACCACGTGGAGTATAAGGTAGGAATGCAAGACAAAAAGTTAGTTAAAGGTTCTTTAGAATGAAGTCTGTCTCAAAATGGATTACGAGAAGTAACTAGCGAAGTAGGCGAGGATTGAAGGATTGTTTATTCCATTCTCCGGTGACTGTTGGTGATTAATTGCCATGCTGTGTTAACAGTTAACTAACATTGCTGGGTCACCGTACAGTATTCTGTTACAGTGTGAGAAGTTCTTTTGATAAGAATTCATGTAATCTTTCTTTGCTATTTTCTGAGTGTGTTTTACAATGTGGCAATTTCTAAGATGTTTACTAAAAAAAAAAACAATCGGAGTAGAATCTGAGTTGAATAAACTACCTACAATGAGAAGGAATTAAAGAGAATGCTGGTCATGGAGTTTACATTTGCACATGTGCAGCAGCTGAGAGGATTCAATGTATAGTAATCTTGAAGGTACAGTAAATTCATTCATTTGGATTTTTGAGTGATATTAGTTCCAGATCTGGTAATACTTTCATGTGTGCCTGGTGTTTCTGATTTTATAGAAATGCACTTGTACCATGTGGGAGAGAGAGCTCCATGTATTTGTCTTTTTTTTTTTCCTTTTACCATCCAACACTTGACTTTTTTATCATTAATGCCTACAGTCACTCTACTGATCTACTGACTGTCACACCTTAACGTGTTTGATATTTGTATTTGTTTGTTTAAGGTCTGGAATAACTGGGTTGGTGGTGTGTTTGAAGTTGGTGTGGTGTGAGTATAGATCATGACACGGTTTTCTTTGCTTTACCCCTTTGTATCACCTCCTATTTGTCATGGTTTCTGAGCTGCTCATTACAAAACTTTCAAAATGATACCTTCATACTTTGAAGACATACAAGTTGCACAGGACTAAACAAACCATTTACAGTTTTTTGCGATATTGCTTACACACTCATTTCAGATTTTGGCTTATTGTGTCGAAACTCAACACACAAGCCAAATAACAGAGTACTCGGAGGTGAACATCTCACTTCTATGTCAAAATGAAACACTGCAATCAACACCTGACAATCTTCTTTCAAAATGACATTTCTATAAAAAAAATTAAAAAAAACATACACACATGCACCATCTGAATGACTCTTTGAAAGCAGCAACAACACACTGATGATTTTTTACCAGAGCAGGTTTGTACAGAACTTGGGTGTAAAAAACATAGGATTGCAATGTCTACATTGTCATACAGGGAGGGGGCTGGGGGTGGGTTGGGACAGATAGGCAGATACCCCCACAGACACCACCCCCAGAATATGGGCACTATTGCAGGTCACATTCTGCTTTGTCGGAATGTACACATTGACAACACAACACATTCTGCTGCCATCAGTCCATCAATCTACAGTTCAGTGATACTTCCACATATTCACAGAGAAGGTCTTTGACTCTAACACTGTTCCTCTCATATGGAACCTGTACAGCTGCTTCATCGTAAGGTGGTGTTGACTCAACATGTGGCAGAGTGTGGATGTACTGAAAGGTTCGGTTTAGAAAGTCAAAAAGACCTGTTCTCCAGTCTGGATGTCTGCATTATGGATGTGACTCTGTAGCACCTGAGGTTTGGGCTGGACTCTCTGCTCAGCCTCCCTCAGTGTCAGGCAATGATTTATGACATAGTCCAGCAAAGTGGCCCCACTGTCATCTGAAGATCGCCAGGTCTTCTTTGTCCTGGCCCTCATCCTCCACCTCCTCTGTCTTCCTCTTCCTCTCTCTGTCACTGCTTCCATGTTTGCAAAGTTCTCGCAGGTCACCTGAGCTCTACCTGAAGCACTGAGGCTCAGACTGAGTGGTGTTCAATGTCTGCATAAATGTTTTCAGGTGTGTGTGTGTGTGTGTGTGTGTGTGTGTGTGTGTGTGTGTGTGTGGTGCAAATTTCATGTGTGTGTTGCAGTTTGAAAAAGACGTGTTTGCCCAATGATTGTAAGATTTAAGTCTTGGAAAAAGTGTGTAATGTAAGAAAAAGTGTTTATTGTTTTTGTAAGTGTGTGTTTTAGAACTGAAAACAGTAGAAAATGTGTTTGTAGTTTTGGTTCTTTGTTTAACACTAGGACCACCAGCATTCTAGCACCCAATAAAGCCGCCACAACGGTCTCCTAGAGCGTCACATGTATTAACATTGTTTAGGTTTCCAAGCAGCTCTTGAAGTGGAAGAAATAAGTGTTAGTACTTCTCCTTCTTCATATAATGTCGTGTTGGGGGCTGAAGGTGGGGGGTAGTGATCGTGCAGCACTGCCTGACACACCTATGGCACACACCTCCACCTGGAGATGGTGTTTCGCTCTCATGTCAAGAGCTGCAGTCGCTGTTCGCTCTGAGGTTCATTGGATTGTTATTTTATGTTATTGTTTATTATCAACAGCCAGAGTTTTTTTTTTTACAATCGTTCCACCGGGTTTGATGCTTTGGTCTAAGCATTCACTTTTTGTGGGTAAGCAATTGTAAAAAACTGTAACTAAGACACCATACAGTTAAGAAAAACAGTACTTGTCCAATGTGACTCAAACCAAAGATCAAATCCCATCATTCAAACACAAATAAAACAGCAGACACAGTGACACTCCACGCACCTCTGCTCACTGTTGATATAGAAGCTGTGTTTCAGAGACCTCCTCCCTCATATACTGCATTTCAAGACTGAACCTGTTTTGTGTCAAAAAGACTGACCTGTTGAGGCTTGTGCAAATATTGCTCAGAAATGTCTAATCATGTCCAACTGTGGAGGACACAGATATTATATTCTCAGTATCCATAAATCTACTGCACACCAGTTGTTTATTTGATTATTTTGTTCTTGTAATGGGACCACAATGAGGTGATAATACACCTCGGGCAGTAGGCACAGGTTCAGCTGAGTAACCTGTGAACCTATTCCTTACATGGGACACAGTTCTAATCTGTCTCATATTACCAGTTAGTCTGTGAGTGGTCACTTTCCTGCTCCAGTCTTTTAAGGGAGCCTGAAAGACTGTGGTCTCTCTCAGAAAGTAGTATCTAGAGTTCATGTGAGAGAACTAGACATGCAATCATTTACCTCTCTCGCAGGTGCGTGACCAGTAGCCAGTCCCAGTGCAGTCACAGATGAATCTGTTCCAGCCTTCTTTGCAGACACCCCGGTTCTTGCATGGGTAGCTCTCACACTGCTTGCCCGTTTGCTTGTTGCATGAGGGTTTGATTCCAGCACCATTTTGGGCCTCAGCGATCTGACGGATGTCTTTGCTTCGACCATCAATGAAAAGGTCACGAATACAGCCCACGTAGCCGTAGTTGAGCATCGCTGTCCACAGCTCAGTGGGCAGGATGAGGTTGGTGCGGTCAACAGGAAGCCCCCCCAAATACATGTCACCCTCCAAGTCCAGAATCTCACTCTCACCACTGGCTGTGAATGGCGTCCTTCTGCTGTTTACAGAGATGGTGCCTGTGGTGGGTGTGGTACAAGATAGAACGATGATGTCAGGAAGAAAACATTCTACACACAATAATGAACAGCTATTCATCCTGATCAGATTATAAAAAAGAAACATTTAGTGTACTTCTTGTTAATTTATTACTTAACTGTATTTTTTTTACACTTTTTGTAGTTAGTACAATATACATTTCCTGTTATTTAAACATTATGAAACAAAACTTTTCATCTCAACTTTTTTTTTAAACCATCACACTAGAGCTGCACAATTAATCGAAATACAATTGAAATCTCAATATGGCCAAGTGCAATATCCAAATTGCTGGAGCCACAATTTGTTTGATGAAGGTAAAATGTGTCACAATATTGTTTTACATTGTTGTGATGCTACAGAGATTCCTCAGCCTACATATCATACTCTCCAGACGTAATGGAACATGAAAGTACAAAAATTATATTGCTTCAGTGAAAATGAAGTGTAAAAATGTGACTGACTGAAACTGAAAAAGTAAGTCCTATCACAACCGCAATATCTGCCAAAAATAATTGTAATATGATATTTTTTGCACATTGTTCAGCCCTACCTCACACCAACCCAGAACACAGTGCATAGGAAAACAATAGAGGGTAACAGTATAGTTATTACTGATCATAGTGCGTATGTGACCACCATATTTACATAAATATCTATACTTTCAAGTTCCCACATAAACCTAATTGTTCTAGATACCACACTCACTTGAACGTCTGTTTTATTGTGTGTAAAATATGACCATTAGGTTTGTATTTGTTTATATTTAAAAAGAATATGTACATAATCAGCATTATTTTCCCCACAGTCCCTCCAACAGCTTGAGTTGTTTTGTGTAAACTTGGACATGCCTTATTTTCATCTTACAAACATAATCCTGACAATAAAGTGACATTATGTAGAGGAATATCTTTGAAACTGAATCTGCTCATTATCAGGTATACTTGTTTTCAGTTCTTCTTATTCTTCTTATTTATTTTAGTATGTGATAGATGTTGTCCAGTTGTATTTGGAGTTCATAGCTTTGATGAGTGGCATGATCTGGATCTGAAGGTGAACTTGGTCAAAGTATGAACCATGTAACTCAAAAGAGGGTGGATATCTGTGGGGGTGGAGTTCTAATTTGGACTTATTGATAAAAGTGGTTACTGGGGAGAAAATATGTGTTTGCTATATTTTAAAAGATATCCACTTCTTCATTATACATTTGATAACATCTAATGAGTCCCTTATTTACTTCCTCATACCGTGAAAACAACTTAATTGCATTTTAGAACTTTATTAAATTCAGTTTATTTCAATTTTTGCTCGCTATGAAACAAATCAAATTTGTAAAGTCAATTCTTGGACATGACTGTTCCACCGACTTCACCAACACAACTGACCTGAGCGTCCATCTCTCTGGATGTCCACGTGATACCAGGCACCATCATTGACCTTTGTCTGAGTGGCCTTCACCTTTATAGTCCCTGAGCCCATGTCCAACAGCAGGTACAGGCTGCCATCCAGTAGTTCTACAGCAAAGAAATCCACCTGCACAAGGCCAAAAATGTATTACCATTCAGTCAGATACTTGCAAAAGGAATGCAACATACGATTCAGGTTTGATTATTTGATTTGTAAGTATTCAGTTCAGATCAGCTTCCAGTTTGGAGAAGCAGCATGAGCGCCAGTATAGAAGCTAATATCAGTTGAAGTGTTGCTTTATTTTGAATATTTTCACCATTTTATCTTGACATCAAACAGACCTTTCCTTTGGAACTACAGTTTGTAAACTGTTGAACTACCACATTACTACGCTCAAGGGCACCTATGGTGTGCACTGTACTACTCTGCAGATCAGCTGTTTGAGTCAGACAAAGTGTAGATGTAGGTTTGTTCATAGGAAAACAAAATGTAGTTCCAAAGTAAAGGGGTGTTTGACGTAGAGATAAAGTGGTGAAAATATTTAAAATTAGATGTAAACTGATATTACCGTTTTTAGTGGGCTTTTTTTTTTAAAATGGCTAAACACGTTTTTCTGCTGACCCTAAACAGATATCATTAGAATGACATTTGTTAAAGCAGAACTGAAATTAGTCATTAAGTGATCTTGATGATTATGGACTGACCTTGGTGTTCTTCTGGCTGCGGGCAGCATCTTTGCGCTCCTGGGGTTTGCCATGAGTGAAGAGGATGAGGCCGTTGGGCTCAGTTGTACGGAAATCAAAAGAGATGGATCCCATCCGCTTGGTGTTCCACTTGGGGAGACTGATGTAGGCCTCAGGAGTCTCGAAAGAAATGGGGTCCAACGTGGCCACGTTCTCACACTTGTAGGACACCTCACCCTGGATTTTCATCTTAGGGTCCACAATCCGAGCCAGACGGGACAACTCAAGTCGGATGTCATTGTTCTTATATACCACCTGTGATAGGGAAAGGAAAGTGTTACAGTTATTCTTCTATTTAGGTATGACCAAAGATGGATATATTTACTTTGATCAAATACCTCTGATAAAATTACAATAATTAAGATTGGTTAATACAACAAACTGCATTGTCATGTTTCTTATGAAACAAGGAAAGAGCTCAAAATTAAATGAAAATTATAACTGTTCTCAAGGTGAATGCAGTGCACATCTGTGTATATGAATTTCAATTATACTGGTGATAATTGAGTAATCAAGGTTTAAAGGGAGTTATTACCTTAAAGGAACAATGCAAATATTTACACATGGTTCACCTCCCTTATGTCAGGAAACAAGGACTGTGTGCATATACTTCTAAAATTCTATTCTGAGAGACACAGTGAAAGAGAGACAGGAAAGTCAGGGACAGATAGAGGGGATGATAACATGCAGCAAAGTTCCATGGGTTGGACTTGGGAGCCACCAGGGGCCCCCAAGTTAGAACTAAACAATATACACAGATTGATGACAGGCAGCAGCAGAAATCCAAGGTTTATGGAAATGCAGAGAGAGCTCCATCCAGGTCACCCATGCTTGGAACTTGGAGAGATCCATGAATACAAGCTGGAACTCAGAATCCAGAACAGTCAGCAAACTACTAATGTTGCTCAATGTATTTTTTCAAGTACTTGCTGAGTGTGCTGAAAGCAGTGGTCAAACAGAGGTTAAGACATGGTCCCTATAAAAAAGAAGGTCATATTTTTGCTCATCACATTCCAGAAATTATTTGAGATGAGTGATTTCGCCACTTGGGAGTAATGGAGCCCTGCAGCATGAGTCTGAGTACGGACAGAAAGAGCGCTGCATGGTTTAGATACAATGCAGAGTGTGATTTGATGTGTTGAAGCTAATAGAAGAGCTGATGTAAAAGAAGGAATCAAGAGCTTGGACATCACAGCTGAGTCCAAAGAGAGAAAGCTCCCTCTAACATGGTGGTCACAACCAATCTGGCAAAAGTAACAAGTGAGAAAAATAAGGTGACCTAATCCTAATAATTATCCTAATAACAATCTGGAATGATGACAGACAGCTGATGGAGGTGGACAACAGGTGAGTAGCAGTAGCTTGTTCTCCACAGTCTTTTGGACATCTTTTATAACTTCAATATGGAGTCATCATCACTCCTCCCAAGACTTTTTGTAGTGTAGAGAGACTGTTGGACTTAAATAGACCACAGAGGATCTATACTGCGCACATCCTCTTTAATGCGGCGCTCTTTCGAAAATGAGCTCTGTAACTTTTGAATATTATGAGATGATTTCTGTATTCAACACTAAAGCCAGGAGCTTGTGGCTTATTCTGTGGCCCCATGAATGGGGCCACACTATTCAGTGAAGCAGGTGTGTAGGAGCAGGATGAGTGGATCCAAAGTAGCAATTAAAAAATCCATACTGTCTGACTTGCAACAAACAATTTCTTTGCAACATTAAAAAAGATTCTCCTGCTGAAGGTCTAACACCAAAAAAGTTGCCAATAGATAGTTTATTGCAAGTCAGACAGTGTGCGGGATTTTGAATTGATTTCATAGCAACCACACACAGATCTGGGGAATGTTCCTGGATCACTCATGTTCACTCTTGTAACAGCTCCTCCACACAGACAGGAAAAAACTCTCTTTTTTATATGAGCTTTTGTATGATAGATTTACCACCTCCAAAACACTGATGTGACCATGGAATAAGTCACACTGAAATGACTTCAGTGCTTATTTGTATGTACGTATTTATATGTTGTATGTTGGCTATGATTTTTAATCCAACCCCTAATCCACCCACTCTGAAGCCAACTGAACTCTGTTGCCTTCTGGTGTTCCCCCCTTCTCATACACATGTTCAGGAGCTTGTCGCTAACGGTGTGTATCTGCTGTTTGGTCTTAGGACATACTGTGGTGTACAGTGGTTCTTCTAGCTTTTTAAATCGAAAATGATCCTATGAACCAATGAATATGAGACACGTCATATGGTCACGATTGTCCAAAAATTGTCAATTGATATATTGTTATTACAAAATATCAGTTATAACTTTATTTTGAAATGACATTTTTTGTGCATCCCTGGGTTTTACTTCCTGTCTTTCTTTTTTCCATTTGCGATTCAGGGCCTCTTTTGTCCATCACCACGAACGACACCCAGCCGGGCCTCTCACTTGACTGGTAGTGAATTACAAATGACAATGTACATAAAAAAGTGTCTTCTTTCAGAAACACCTCTGCTCCCGTGATCTGACAGAGTTTTGAAAGCAACTGCCAATCATAGCTGCCAGTCATTCAAAGAGATACCTTTTTATATTAAAAAAAGATCAGAAAGATGACCATGTCAACATACATCAGTGTGATGAGACTTTTTTGGAAATATTTATTAGAACTATACTTAGAATTTTTAGTTTGGCTCATGCAGAAGTGACAAAGTCCACTGCTCCGTCACTTGATTCAGAGTATAGATGCTCCTGGTCAAATATTATTCTGATAGAGGTGAAAGTTGCTCAGTCACATTTTTACTTGAGTTGTAGGGATGGTACTGAAACCTGGCATTAAATGGCTGTAGTATCGATAAGGTCTGACATCTCTCTCTCTCTCTCAGAGCCTGTGTGAGGGGCAGGGGCAGCTCTGTGTCATGCTGGAGCACACACACACACACACACACACACACACACACACACACACACACACACACAGACGCTGCTCTTAGTGACTATGGCAGAGAGAAGGAAACATTCAAAGTGTGGTGAAGTGTTTTTTATGTAAGGGCAGAAACACAAGTGATCTCTGGAGACATCCAGTGAAAGTCTGTCACATACAGGAGGAGAAATGTACAGTTTATGACATACTAGCTCGTAGGTCATCTGCCTGGAGTCCACGCACAGAGTTAACTGGATTGTATGAACATGAAAAGCAACCATTTACCAGCTGATTCTTAAATTCAATCTGAGCATCATCTGAATTGTGGTTCAGAAATTCAGATCCAGTTTCAAAAAGTCCTGCAGTAAATCATTGTGTATTATATTTGTTTTACATTGCCATCATTACAAAATCAGTCTATAATAGCAATTTGTTCAAAACAATGCAGTTGAAGTTTGCTGAACGATACAATATCTTAACAATACCCATCCCTAGTTATGTGGCATCAAATGCTCAGACAAGCTCAGTTCGTCTTGAACTTTTTCATTCTCTTTGCTCTCTTCTGTTGTTTGCCTCACTTAAAGAATGCTGTGATGTAGGTTTGTAAGAGATGTCAGAATTAATCAAATTAAATGCCAGACTGCTGACATGATGTGTTGTAGAAAAATAAGTGTTTACTTTCGTTAATATCGCAGCTTATGTTGCACAGAATATCAAATGCAATATGGCAAAATAACACTTTTGAACTTTGTGTACATAGTGAGGATAGCTCAGGGAATTGTCTGGCCCCCAGGCCCTTAGCTTTCAGGAGATGTGGCCCCCTGAACAACATAGTTGAATAGCTCTGCTCTAGAAACCATACAAAGAAATTGCCATAAAAACACACTGAATCAACAAAAGGAGCCATTGTTGTTTTCTTTCTTTTTTTTGTTTAGTCAGTGATGAAGTTAGGTCTTGGTAAAGACAGTAAACATTTGAAACTAAATGAATCTTTCTATTTCTGTTTAAATATTTCTAAACCTTCTAATGCAGACTTCAGATCAGACCATCGTGCTCTGGTGAAGCATCATCTGCCTCATCTTTATCTAACGTCGCCATTGTTAGGACACTGACAGGTTCAAACATGACTGACAGTAGAGGAGTTGGCTGTGATTGCTTTTTCTCGTGTGATGAACATGTAAGGTCTGTCACATTTTTAAAATAAAAGACAGTTAATTCACTGACTAAAAGCTCTGCTTCAAAGTAAGAGTCCGTCATAGAAATGTAGCGGAGTCAAAAGGACAAAATTTGTCTTTTAAGTGTATGTGAGTAAAAGTCAGGAGTTTACAAAAAATAAAGCTAATAATTTGTAAAGTACAGATACTTAAGGTACACTTAAGGTACAGTACTCAAGTAAATGTACTTTTTTGCTGTCCATCTATTATCTGCACTGCAAAGTCAATGGATTTCACCTGGTTGATAACCTGAGGCCTGTACTACGAGGCAAGTTCAACATACCCAGGATAACCTTTAGTTATCTGGCTTGACTAAACCTGACATTGACCATCCTGATAACCTTTAGTACGAAGCTGGTTATCAACGGGCTCAGTTAACCCTGGGTTTGCAACCGGGTACAAGCACCTCAAAGTGAAAAAGGTGGAGTTGTTAATTATAAGCAACATCGTCAGAACCTTGAATGAAGTACTTAATATGATCTGAGAAGAAACGCTGATACTTCCTGGTGACTTCAGTTATAGCAACGTCCAAAAGTGATATTCAGCAAGGTGAAATGTATGTCTTGTATGTGAATTTCCATGTCTAAATATGATTTCTATTAAAGTCAAACTAAAGATATATTGTAAATAAGTGCATGAATTATCAGTATTTTCACTCTTCAGTCTGATGATGAACAAACTGTTATGAACACGTGATGCAGAGAAAACAGTTAAAGTTAATGTGACTGTTTCTGTTGCAGAGAGGAGAGAAGGAAAAGAGAAGTAGTCGATGTCTGATGAGTCAGTCTGACTGAAATGTTTATTTATAATCATGGAAATAATTAACAGTGTCTGGCTAATTGTTCTAATCAAAGACATCACAGGTTTAGTTTTTATTTCCAGTTCTGGTCACTGTTCCTGTAGGAATGATGACTCAGTTTTTCCAAGTATCTGATTGGTCAGTGGTTTGGCTGTTGACAGGTTTTGATCTGATCCTCTAAATTAATCTGTGCCCAAGCAGGTTAGGAGTTCAGCATAAGTTACTATGGTGATTTACCCCGGTAACAAGTGAACCACCGTCGTAGGACTGAAAACCCAGAGTTAAACATGAAGTTACCTCGATAACCTCAAATCCTACTTTGTAGCAC